CAGCAGAGGGAAAAGTTGAGGCAATAGGAACTGCACCCCCTTGAATGTTGTTAAGGAAGCGGTTGTGTAGTGGGATAGCTGCCCCACTCCAGCAGGGAAAGGGTTAAAAGGAAGCAAACTGGAGCCTGCACAAACATAGCCAATCAGGATAAAGGGAATTCTCAGCCAATCAGGGCCAAGCTAGGCCCTATAAAAGGCTGTGGAACTGCAGCGAGCTCAGTTGGACCCTGACCATCAAGGGTGAAGAAGTTTGGACAAAGCAGAGCTAGGGAGGCTCAGGGGAGCAGAAGAAAAAGGTCTAGCCTGATACCTGCCAGGCATTGGCTTTCTTACAGGGGCCGAGAAGAAGCTAGGGTCACGGGGAATTGGCCTAGAGGAGTGAAAAAGGGCCCAAGAAGGTAGCCGCAAGAGGATCCCTGGCTCAGAATCCAGAGTAGCGGGTGGGCCCACATCAATGTTCCCTCTAATTTTTTTCCATCTGTGTGCAGAATAAATTTTGCCCAGGCATATGGGGATGTGCACCACAAATAGAAACACATGCTAATAGCTGTGGGCGGCTGTGTGGGGATGTGCACCACAAGTAGAAACACATACTGACAGCTGTGGGCGGCTGTGGGAGCTGTGGTAATCAGCTGGGCAGATCCTGAATCTCGCCTGGGTGGTTGACCATGCAGACAGCTCACAGGGCACATTGGCAGGTATCCCCACCCCTTTCCTCATTCAATGCACCTGTCCCATAGGAGCATGGCCTACGCAGATTGCAGATTGCCCCTGCGGAAAGAGTCATGCTTCCCTGAGCACCAGTCAGTCTCTGTATCAGAAACATACAAGTCACTCCATGTCTGTGCCCAGGAAAAAACGATGTCCCTGCTTCAAGTTTAAGAGTCATGCTTATAATGCCATTACATATTGTGGAGGATGTAGGCACATGTGTGTGGGGTAGGACTGGTGGAGGGGGCGTTTCAATACAGAAGGGAACAGAAAGAGGACTGGGCAAACTGTGGTGCACAGTGACTGAAGAACAGAGGGTGGAAAAAGTAAATGGAACTGTTATTGGAAGGCCTCTGTAGCTCAGTTCAATGAGCAGAATAGGGACTATTCCAGCGGCTGCAGGAGTGAACACAGAGAACTCATTGGAGGCCAGGCAAAAAGGTCAAAGATAAGTGTTCTCCAGAGGGAAGGCTGTGTGGTCATGGGCGGGTGGGGGAATTAGGTCACTCCAGCAGGGAAAGGGTTAAAAGCAGGGCCAAGGGAATGTAGACATGCCTGTGGTCTAGTGCTCTGAAATTAGGAGCTCAGTTCCTGGCTCAATAGCAGACCTCTTGTGAGAGGGCCACAGACGGGCCTACAAACAAAAAGAGTTACGGCAATTGAGAGATGGGCAAAAGGAGGCAGAAAGAATGTGAGATTCACATTTTCTTACATCTCCATAGGTACCCTGGAGTCACGGCTTCTTTTGAAAATGCTGCTTCCTGTAGTTGGAATGAGAAGAGGCAACAAGATATTGAGCAGACTGGCAGGATTTTTATTTCAGACTGTTCCCATATGTTTAATTTCCCATCATTAAATGCATACACTAAAAATAAAGTTTTACCACAAATCGTCATTTAAAACAATTATTTACAGCAAATAGAATTTCATCAGAGCTTGGGAGGGAAGAATCTATCTGTCATTACGGTTAGTATCAGCAAATACCAGATCATCTTATCAGCTCTTTAATGTTCAATATAGACGCTAACATCAGCAAGTCAAAGAGTTGTGAGCATCACGTTTCTTAGTCCCTTAACACTGAGCTATGGAAAGGGCCTAGGAATTCAAAGGCTGCATAATTCAGTGTCGTAACTCATGTGGATACTGCTGTAAGTTAGGCTGACTTTAAATTACAGGTAGTGTACCTTAAACTGACTGGCAGCATTAACATAGACCATGCTCAGAAAAATTCAGGAGAGGACATAGCCCACTTTCCAGGGCACTATCCAGCAGAACTGGAGACCCAATTTTCAAATAGTT